TCCAATTGCTACAAATGGGTTCATTGATTTGGATCTTCCACTTGAGTTTGGTGGAGGGCATAGAAGGTTTGGGATTACTAGGGTTCATATGGAGGAGGATGCAGGGAAGCTTCTTCACACGGGATCCGGGAGTTATTCTCAGGTGATTATTTAAAAACCAGGGATAGTTTGGTAATTTTTTTAGTATTTAACATTTGTTTGTTGGAAACAGGTTGATTTGAACAGAGCAGGGGTACCTTTACTTGAAATAGTTTCTGAACCTGATATGAGAAGTGGAATTGAGGCTGCAGAATATGCTGCAGAATTACAAAGGGTAGTGAGATATTTGGGGGTTAGTAATGGAAATATGCAAGAAGGATCACTTCGTTGTGATGTCAATGTTTCCATTCGTCCAATTGGCCAATTAGAATTTGGCACCAAGGTATAAATATAAATATATAAATTATAAAAATACTTCCCTTTTTCTTCTTCATTATATTAAATATCAAGGTAAAATGAAGATCATCTAGAAAAGATCTTGGGCCCCGTTTGTGCAAAAGACAATGAGAAAAAGGACAGTAAATGCAAAAACAAAACAAATAAAGAATATTGTATGTGCAAAAGACGTAAATGCCCTCGTCATGGTTTTTGAATGATAGGTGGAGATAAAGAATCTGAATTCATTTTCAGCAATGAGTAGAGCTATTGATTTTGAGATTGCAAGACAAGCAGCATTATATAACCAAGGGCAAGCTGAGGAAATTGTACAAGAAACACGTCTATGGGAAGAAGGAGCTCAGGTATTGTATTTGTAACGTGTTTTCTTCCTCATTAGGGGCATTTTGGTCATTTTAGAATGCTTATCTTTTTTCTTTGCTCTTATTGTTAGAAAACAGTTACAATGAGGAAAAAGGAAGGACTTGCAGATTATCGATATTTTCCCGAACCTGACCTTCCGGAAGTTGTATTCACAGAAGAATATGTCAATGGAATCCGTGATTCCTTACCTGAGCTTCCGGAATTGAAAAGAAGAAGATATGAGGAAATGGGTTTAAGCATGCAAGATGTCCTTTTTCTTGCCAATGATGTGAATGTATGTCATAAGGATAGAAAGGGCATTAAAGTCTTTTTACACAAACAAGATATTAAGACCAAGTCCATGTCTCACCTTTTTAGGCGGGACAAGATTTGCAATCTTTGTCTCATTGACACCGGTCAGTCATTATCTGTCATCTGTCAACTGTCAACTGTCTAAATTTACTTATTTGGGTATTCAGGTTGCGGATTTTTTTGATGCCACAATAGCAAAAGTACCCGATGTAAAATTAGCAGCTAATTGGATCATGGGAGATATTGCTGCATACATGAAGAATGAAAAGTTGTCTATCAATGAAATAAAACTTAGCCCTCAAGAATTAAGTGAGTTGATAGCTTCTATAAAAAGTGCAACTATTAGTGGAAAGATAGGGAAAGAGGTGTGTATCTTTATTCGATTATTGCTTAATATCTTATAAATGTTCATAAAAACTGAAACTTTATTGATGTTGTTCAAGATTTGTGTGTAAAATTCTGCAGATACTCCTTGAACTTATGGAAAAGGGTGGAACTGTTAAGGGACTTATCAAAGAGAAAGATCTTGTACAGGCAAGCTCTTTGTTCTATATTGTTTTTAAACAAGAGGGTAAAATGGTCATTTACTCACATTCGTATAGTAGAAAAAAGAAACACTTTTTATGTATACAACAAGCTATATATGGGTGTGTTTCTTTTTGACTTAAAAAGAACAACTTAATAGATAAAGTTTGAAAAAGGAAGCTTTTTCAATTAAGTTTTAATTTTTTACAATGTGCCCTTATTTATTAAAAAAGTTACTTTTTTTTTAATTACAGATAGTTGACCCTGTTGAGATTGAGAAAATAGTTGATAAAGTAATTACTAATAACCCAAAGCAATTGGAACAATATCGTGGGGGTAAAACCAAGTTGCAAGGCTTTTTTGCAGGGCAGGTTGGTCTTTTTATCTCTAAACTGAGCATCTCATAAATTCATGTTAGGGTTTTTTTTTTAAATGTTATAATTTAAGCTTTTTAAACCAAATTATCAGGTGATGAAAGAATCAAAGGGCAAAGCAAATCCAGGGCTTGTGAACAAGATTCTTCTTGAAAAATTAAACGCCAAAAACTGATAAGGTATCTATAAGGATCTTTTTTTGTTACTCTTCTCTTATATTTTTTGAATATTTTGATCTTATGAACTTGAATTTTGTTGTAAACATGCAGATTGTGTAGCCATTTCTTTTTCGGATGAAATCCCACCCAAGAGTTGTTACCTATGAAAACAAGGCAAAGGGCGTTTTCGTATTTTTACAAACCACAAGAAATTGGATATGTTTATTTTTAGATTATAGGTTGCAACTGTATTTCACATTCATCTTGAATATTGTTTCTTACCATTTATTGCAGCTAATGCTAAACAAGCTAGTTTTTTATCCTCTTGTGTTGTGGTTGAAATGCAAAGTTAGAGCTATGAAAATGAAATTATGTTTCTTTACAAATAATAGCAATTTACATATCTTTATTGATAACAACAATATCATGTAACCTAATGTTTGTAATCTTGTAAGTTTCAAATTGCATATCGCTCTTTCTTCATCTTCTAGAATCATATTATGTAATATGATGCACGCGTACATTACATGTTGCAACTTTTTCACTTCATATGATCGTGTTCTGACTTGTAGTACTTGTCGTGCTTATATGATCGTGCGACTTTCTAAGGTAGATGTCGTTGAATACCAACTGCTAATCGAGAACATTGATGTTTGCACCAGCTTGACCAAAAAATACATGTCATATCCAAAGATCATGTGATGCGATTGCTTCTAGAATATTTGTCAGCTCTCTATGATCGCCTCTCAGGTATTGACCCCGACATGTGTTGGGGCATAATGCCCACGACCGATGCATACAATCGATGTTACCTAGCATTCCCGGAAACCCATGCCTATTTTCATCCATCGTGTATAATTGGTGGACAACATTGATCGTCGGTTTGCGCAAATATCGTTCCCCGTAAACCAAAGTAATAGCTTTCGCAAACTTGTACACAGTTTCCCATGTGGTATGCTCGGATATCCTCAAATACTCGTCTCATTTATCTGTTCTGATGTCGTATGCTAATTAACGAACTGCGATTGTGCATTTTTGAATTAGAGAAAAACATTTTCTTTGTCTGTCGCATCCCGCTTCAATTGGAAATATGGAAATCGACCTTCCAAATTGCCAACAATACGTAAAAGTAACTCTTTCCTCATCCGAAACCGTCGTCGAAACTTTTTAGCGTACCCGATGTCATCTGCAAAATAGTCTTCTATAAGACGATTGTATTTGGCATCGTAATCTCTCTTCAGCGGAGGTCTTCTTTGTTTGAGGTTGTGAACGTGAACTTTGACCTTGTCGGTTTTGGAAATACATCACTGTTTTTGTCATGATGGAACCGACAAATAATGTCTCTTCTTGCACGATTGAATCAGATGATGCAGATGACGATAACAAAATTGTGGTTGAGTGAGTTTTTTTGAAAGAATATGTAGAAATAAGTGTGAAAATTACGTTAGATTTGTTTGGTATTTATAGAGTGGTACATGTATTAAAATATTTAATTTTTAAATATTTATTGTATTTTGCCAAGTAACCATTGCATTCAAGAGAAAGAAAAAAATCCGGCCAATCACACATAGAGAGAGGGCATGGTACCCCCCACCCCCCGTCCTGCACCACACCTCTTAGCCTAAAGATATTATCTTTATATATTGTTCTTATTGGTAGAATAATACAAGTATGTTGCTATTATAGATTTTAAAATTTTAAATAACCATTACTATTTTGAAGCCAACAAGCTTTTCCATTTGTAGTTGTAAAAACAGTTCAAGAAACTAACCAATAATTAGGGATATATACAGTAAAGTCTCAATATTTTTATCAATTTGACAAGAAAATCCTAAACTTATTTTTTTGACAGTAAAATCCAAATTACTGGCAGTTTTTGACACTTTTACCCTTTTTCCCGGTTAGCCGGTAATTAGGATTTTTTTGTCAACAAAATAAAGTTTAGGACTTTCTTGTTAAATCGTCAATTAGGACTTTACTGTCAAAAAAATAAAGTTTATGATTTTTTTTGTCAAATCGTTGAAAATATTGGGACTTTATTGTATATATAATTTTTTTTGGTTAGAAATTTAATGGTATGATACTCTTTAAGCATAAAAGTTATTGAAAAATTCTCTAATCATCTAGATCGTATTGAAATCCTTTACGTTTGCTTCTTGTTAAATCGTTTTTTTAATCTCAACAACCCGACATTGAAAAAAATTGAGATAATCAAGAAAAAAAGAATCAGGGTTGTGTTGGCTTTTTGCAGTCTCAAAAATGGAGAAATAAGAAACCGAAAAAAACGAAATTGTCCTTCTTTCCCTTCTCCACATTCAAACCCTTTTGACTAGGCATGTGTTGTTTGTGTTTGTATAAAACAAAGGCAATTTCGTTTTTTTTAGGTTTCTAATTTCTCCATTTTTAAGACTACAAAAAACCAACACAACACTGGTTCTTTCTTTCTTTCTTGATTATCTAAATTTTTTTTAATGTCGGTTTGTTGAAATTAAAAAACAATTTAATAAGAAGCAAACGTAAAGGATTTCAATAGGATCTAACTTATTAGAGAAGGTTTCAATAACTCTTATGCTTAAAGAGTATCATACCATTAAATTTCTAACCAAAAAAAATTATATATCCAGTAAAGTCCCAATATTTTCAACGATTTGACAAAAAAATCCTAATTGACGATTTGACAAAAAAGTCCTAAACTTTATTTTTTTGACAAAAAAACCCAATTACCGGCTAACCGGGAAAAAATGGTAAAAGTATCAAAAACTGCCGGTAATTTGGACTTTACTGTTAAAAAAATAAATTTTAAGATTTTCTTATCAAATCGATGAAAATATTGAGACTTTACTGTATATATCCCCCAATAATTACTTTATAGAGTCAATAATCAGCATATCAATTTCAAAATCAAAAAATTATAACAAAATAGAAAAAGAAAAAAACATAACAATCTATACATAACCAAACTAAAAAGAAATTAGTGTGTTTGACCCCAAAAAGTCAACATCTCATATCATAAACAAAAGAGTAACAAAAATATATGCAATTTAAATATTCAAAGTTCATCATGCATCATCGGTTGTTCCAAGTTAAAGTCAACATTCGGGCCCACATGTCCATTGACCCGACCCATGTGGTTCATAGCACCACCTACATCTGCCCTCTCAACAATTTCCGCTTTATTAGCCATAGCAGCTTTTATCGAAGCAAGAGCTATGTTTTTCAACTTTAGTATTCCAATTCTCTTTGAAACAACATAAAGAACAACTAACAAGAAAATCACCGCTCCCACAATACCTATAATCCTGCAAACATGATATTCAACCTTAAAAAAATAATTTTTAAAGATGAATCTTGAAAAGAAAATAATATAAGATTGATTTTGTTTAACTTGTCAATAACATCTTGGCGTTTCATTGTTGAAAGCAAGTTACGCGTTCTCATTAGTAGTGATCGATGACCTTTGTATTCACTTTCTGCTTTCTTTAACACTCCTGTTGATTCCTCTGTACTAAACAAAAATATATTTTTATTTAAAATTATCAACACCATTATAATTTTAAAATAAGGGGTTGTTTCTTTTTTTGAACCTTAGGGTAAAATGGCTAAATGGGTAAATGATGTTTGTTGTGTGGATAAAGTGATGTATACATAAGGTTTGTTTCTTTTATAGACTTGATGAAACTGTTTGAATGAATGATACTTAAATGACCATTTTACCCTTATATTCTAACATAACAATTTTCAAAAGTAGGAAATGGAAAGATTAAGATGAATCAAAGGACAAACCAAAAGCCATGAGTGTGTTTCCACTTCGTTCAACCTCCTGTAAATACATTAACAAGTAAGAAAGAGATATCATGTATCATAGTTGATGAGGATGAGAAGGGCATTCATGTCTTTTGCTTAGATAAGACATCGATAGTAAGTCTCTATCTATCCCACATTCTTGGGTGGGACAGAGACAAAAAGTTACAATTTTTATCTCATTGACAGTAATGTGGGTCCCAGTTCAATGCATGTCAAACACAGTATAATTTGTTATATGAAATCATGAGTAAATGAAATTAGGGTTTAAGAGAAACAAACCTGAACCATTAACTGTCGAGTCCTACGAAGGCTTTCTGTAATGCTTTCTGCTGCTGATGTCATTCCAGCTTTTGTCCTGATTGTAAAAAGATACTACTTTTAGAGTAACTTAAGTAAATGTATACTGATTTTAACAATATTGACATAAGGAATATAGAGAAAGAAATTGGAGTATTATAAACATTGATGAAAATTATGGTAATACATACTGTAAATTACGCCTTCTAACTGTTGACTCTTCTCCACCACCCAAGAGAAGCTCCCTCTGATACCAAATATGATAAATATAAGATCACATTTATAAGCCTTTAAGTTGATCTACAGGTTATTGAGCTAGTGTATGTATAACTTTGGGCTTTTATGCATTTAGTGACCCCAAATGATGCAATTACTTAATCACCATTATCGAAGAAAAGGAAAGATATATGGATGGAATGGAATTGTAATGTACCTCCTCTTTCGCAGCTTTCCTCATATTAGATTTTGCTTGCAGATTAGCATGTCTCAAACTTGATCGCAGACTAAACAAGAAAATACAAGAATTGGGTATTTCGATTTGGATTGAAAATTATCTAGACTTTGGTATGGATTGAGAATTGGGTGGCGTACCTTTGAATTTGTTTGCTCCATGAGAGAAGCAACATTCGGGCATTTTGAATATGATCATCTGTAGGAAGTTGAGGGACCAAAAGATCAAGATTGAATTGTGCCGTAGTCAGCAAAGAGAGTCCGTCTTGAGCAAGGCCGTTCAATCTGGGCAAAGAATCTTTCTTGGCAACGTCACCGGTGGCGGTGGATCTTGATTTCCCGTAGTTTTCGATGGCGTGAATGTGGTCTAGGGTTTGAACATACCCATCGTCCCAGTCTTTCTTTGTCTTGTTGAATTCCTCGATAACAACATCTGTGGGAGATGATGCTTTTACCTCCATGATTTCCCAGGAATCGCGTGATTTATGAAGGTTGGTTCTTTGAAGAACATGAAATCATTCGGTTAACCCTCCAGGCTACAGGATAACCCAAGGTTGAACCCGAGGTATCTAAACAGGTTTTCAGCCGGATCATTGGGATAAAAACTTAAAAATATAATATATTTTTTGTTTTGCAGTTATTAATTTAATTTCATATTTTCACATTGAATTTATTGAACTAGGGATGGATAGTTTGTCCCAATTCCCGATCTCTTACTGGTACCGTACCGGAAGCGGTACCGAACTGTACCGAATTTAAAAATACGGGACGATACTTGGTACTTCAAATACATGAAATTCGAGAATCGGTACCGCCGGTACCGACACTAGTACCGAGTACCGGGACCGGTGATGTTAATTCGGTTTGGTACTCGGGATTAACTTTCGATCAAATTCGGTATTCGGAAAATCGGAAACGGGACGGGTCGGTACCGGTTCCGTCCAACACTCATCCCTATATTGAACTGTTTAAAATGCATGACAAAACTGTAATTTTGGTCCCTATGGTTAGCAAAAATATGTGGATAGGATCCAAAAATTTTCCAACTTGCAACATTAGTCCAAAATCAGAAGTTTTTTTGTGGTTTTAGTCCTTTAAAAGTTGAAATGATTATTTTGTCATTTTAATTTCTTTTTTAATTTTTTATATTTGTTTTAACACCCTTTTAATTTAATAATAATAAAAAAAACAAGAACCCTCACCCACCGTATCCATACCCCTCTCTCTAGAAGTTTTTTGTGGTTTTAGTCTCTTAAAAAGTTGAAATGATTATTTTGTCATTTTAATTTCTTTTTTAATTTTTTGTATTTGTTTCAAAACCCTTTTAATTTAAAAATAATACAAAAAACAAGAACCCTCACCCACCGTATCCATACCCTCTCTCTCTCTCTTTCTCTCTCTCTCTCTCTCTCTCTCTCTCTCTCTCTCTTCTTCCTTATTGCTCTATTTCACACCCTGCTCATAGTTTTTTTTAACCAAGCCATACTAGTTACAGAGAAAAGCTCAAACACACCTGAAACATAGAAATATAAATCCCATGAAAATTTGGAATGGAGAAAACAAAACATTGATGCTGATTACAAATTGAAGAAAATATGGAACAAAACAAAAATGGAGGAGAAAAATTACTAAACGGTACCCACCATCCTCAAGTGACAGCGAATAGTAATCACAGGAGGAAAAACTCCTACAAGTTGACAATGTTGATGTATCAATGGCTGATGGGTTTTTTCAATTTGAAGTCTGATGAGAAGAACCTGGTAATAAATTTGGATAATTGATCTTATCTTGCACTTAAGGTGAAGAAGAATAAAATGGAGGTAAGGTTGGATAATAGATTTTCTGGGTTGTTCATCCATTTTTCAAGTTTGTGTTGAACAAATTGGAGCCCTAATAATATGTCAAGGATGAACAAAGCGACTTGAATCAAATGCATCGATCCTTATATTGCGTAAATTGTATTGCATCGGGAATAACCAAGGTTCGAGAACCCTTCTGTGGCTATGAGGTTTCTTTGATTTGAGGAACATAGGATGAATCTAGGATGAAAACAAGAACATGATCATAGGATGAATAAGGTATGAAGCTTTAGTTTGAGGCTAAGTCGTTGAAATTCTCTTATCATTCAGACCTGCAACATAAAATTGAAGGAAAAAAGGGTGATTTTTGTAGTCTTGTACTTTCACTCCTCACTCTCCAACCTTCTGTAACGGAGGAAATTGGATTTCCTCTCCTATGTGTTCTTTTCATTTTATCACTCCCATCTATTCTTTCTGGTAGCAACTTACCCACTCCATCGGATGGATAAATCTCAATTCAGAGAACATGTATAAGAATGTTAAATTTTCTTTTCTTTTAGCAAGAAGATAGAATCTTTATTGCCTCAACAATTTGTTTAATGAATGAAAACTCATCAAGAAACGCAACTCGTTTGATTTTGTAGAAGATCGTGAAGCATGTCTGAACATCATGAAGAGCTTAAAGAAGATGAAGAAGAGCTCAAATGTGAAGATTCTAGTTCAAGAGGTGATGCAGGATACTCTGTTAGTCATCATCATTCATCAAGACCCAAAACAACCCATTTTTGAAAGAAACATGAAAGATGTTTATAGGTGGAGCTCGAGACATGGACCTCACAACAGGTGGGTGGCTTTTTAGCGAGCATGGGTGATTTTACCGTGCAGTAGAGGTGAATCTATGGTGGAGATGGTGAAAAATGATGGTTCTGGTTTTTTTTGGGGATGTGTGTGTGTGTGTGTGTGAGAGTGAGAGAGAGAGAGAGAGAGAGAGAGAGAGAAAAGGAGAAAATAGGGGAAAGAAGGTAACCGAGTAGTGGGGTTGGTAGGTTTATCATTTCTTTTTTATTTTTAAATTATAAAAATAGTAAAAGAAATAAAAAGTGTAAAAAAACAAATTAAAATGGTATAATAGTCTTTTTATGTTTGATAGGGACCATAACCACACAAAAAATATGATTTTGAACCAATGGTGCAAGTTGAAAAGATTTTGGACTTCATCCACATTTTTTGGCGAACCACAGGGACCAAATTTGCAGTTTTGTCCTTATAACTTGCTATCGGAAGTTAAGCCGGTTTCCAACATATTTGCCACATCCAACGACACTTCGGTCGTCTTCTCCAACGAGTATCCGGCCATAAATCTAAAATAATTTAATTTTTTATTTTTTGATCAACAACACACGCAATACTTCATCTCCAAACTAGAAATCTACCACAAACATGAACTCAAGAGCATAAATCGAAAAATCTGATGACGAACATGAAGACCAACCCAGAAATCAAAGTTGTGTTCTTGAACATAAATGGAAAATCGAATTTGATGAAGAACATGAACTCAAGAACATGAATTTCGATCGCCTTTATATCGTGCTTCAACTTAAAGTTCAAATACCCTACACTCAAATATCATTTTTGGAGAGAGAAATAATGATAAATGTTCTTGAGTTTGAAAAGAAGAAGTATTAGATGAACACACACACACGTACACAATGATCTTCAAGGTTTGTAGATCTTCATCGTCTTCATCTCCTTCCCAAATCCGATGTTCGATCATGTTCTTCTTCTTTCCAGAAACAATTTCAAAGCACATAGAAGAAATCAATTTTATGTGAGTTGGTTCAAAGGATAATGCATAGACAAACTTGTACATTGTGATGCGTTGTTTGTACTTTGTTGACTTCCATGAATAAAGAAGATGAACATGATGAACAACAGATCGGGAACAACAATTCGATGGTGAACATGAAGACAAATCTAGAAATCAAAATTGTGTTCTTGAACAAAATGGAAAATCGAAGTTAATGAAGAACATGAAATTCGTTTGTCTTCATATCGTGCGTTAGCTTGAAGACACTCAAAAATCAATTTTAGAGAAAGAAATAATGGTGTGTTCTTGAGTTTGAACAAAAGAAGATGAAGATGAATAATTGATTTATGGGTTTGAGTTCTTAAGTTTGCAAATCGAACACGCACACATTCACACACAAATTGTAACAGCCCAAAAATTTAGATAAAAATTTTCATTTAATATTTGGAAATTACAATCATGTTTTGTTTTCTAAATTCCATTACATTAAATCATATCCGAAAGGTCAAAGTATCTAAAACAATAAATGCAGGAGAGTGAATGTTGCATCATCAAGTCAGGCCCTTCCTCTTAGAACCAAAGGTACCTGAAACACCCAACAAATTGTAAGCAAACGCTTAGTGAGTTCCCAAAATACACAAAGCATACAACCACATAACACCATGAAACATATATATATATATATATATATATATATATATATATTATATATATATATATATAGAGAGAGAGAGAGAGAGAGAGAAAGAGAGAGAGAGAATTACCATTAACTCCCTCCATGGTCTTCACCTGGAATGCCATGGGCTCCCCCATGTTCTTTACTTGGAATGTCTTAGGCTCGCCTCGTGTTCTGACAACCAAGTGTCATGGACTCCCTCTATGGTCTTCACATAAATCATTACATGCCAACTAACAAAACCATTGTATATCAACTATTAAGACCAAATATCAAATAATGGGCTGGCATTGGTGCCTTCGACCCATTAGTATGATGAGAAGACTCACCTCAGTCTGCTAAAAACAATAAATTCTCGACCACCAATCCAAAATCTCACACTGAATAAATATACAAATAACCCTAATTAGGATTATGAAACAACCTAGTCAAGGGCCCGAAATCCTAAGTCCAAATGTCGCATTATGGCCCAAAAGTCTTTCCTTCACTAATGGGACTAGCATCAAAGTCCAAACTATAATGGATCACGAGGCCCAAAGGCTCCAAAAGAAGTTTCCTTATAATGGGCCCACCCAAACTTGGCTTATTTACACTAAAGGGCCTAAGGCCCAAAAGGACCAAATCATGACCGTAGAGGTCCACAATGGAAATTGACCCACCTAACTTAACTAGGCCACAACCCATGATGCAGCCTAAAGCTCCTAACGTCCACATGTGAAGCCCACACCGAAGGCCCAAATTACCGAAACCCTCTGCTGAATACGTGGGGCGTACTCAGCTTGTAAGCTAAGTGTACACACTTAAGGGCATGTACGTTGCGCGTACGAGCTTATATGTCCAACGTACTCCTCTGATTTGCCAACTATGCTATTAAGCTCTAACTTGGTTTAGACACTTTCTCCAATACTCAGATATGATATCTTTAAGTTGAGTAATCACATAAAATTGCCAACTTTACGTGCATGCATGGCTTAATGAAGCCCAAAAGCCCAAAAGAACTTAATAAATGACTTAATGCTTGCATGAAGGTCACAAACACCAAAACGTTTGCACCTTTAAGCTAGAAGAGGCCACTAAACGTCTAGATATACAACTTTGGAATCACATATGGTCTTGACACATCAAGACCTTCAAAAAGGGACCAAAGAGACCAAAACAAGTCCAAAAGGAGATCTAAACAATAAATGAGTAAGGTATGGATTTTATATCTCTAGAAGCTCCCTAAGATGAAGGAAATGTTAGATCTAGATGATGGGTTTTGAGCATTACAACATTCCTATATGCAAATGCAACCCTACTTGCTTTTGATCTAGGTTTTTCTCAAGTTATACATACAAATAAGATTT